TATAAATAAATGGAATGTTTAATATGTTCACAAATTGGAAGACTCAACATTAAGATGTCCAACCCAAAACCAAACCCACCGCCATCGAGTCAATTCCGACTCATAGCGACCCCATATGGTTTCCAAGGCTGTAAATCTCTGTGGAAGGAGACTGCCACATCTTTCTCCCACAGAGCCACTGGTGGTTTTGAACTGCCAACCTTTCAGTTAGCAGTTGATCGCTTTAACCACTGTGCCACCAGGGCTCCTTATTAAAATGTCAATCCTCCCCAAATTGATTTATAGATTTAAGGAAAGCCCAATCAAAACCCCAGTAGGCTATTTTTTTTTTTTTTGGTAGGAATTGGAAAGCTGATTCTAAAATTTATATGAAAATGACCAAAAGTACCCTAAACAACTGTGAAAAAGAACAAAGTTGGGGGATTTATATTACGTGATTTAAAAAATTACTACAAAGCTAGAATACTCAAAACTGTGTTATTGGAGTAAGGATAGATATATAGGTCAATAGAACAGAAAAAAGAGCCCAGAAATAGACCCACACATATATAGCAAATTGATTTTCAACAAAGATGCCACAGTAATTAAATGAGGGAAAGCTACTTGTCTTAGTTATGTAGTGCTGCTGTAACAGAAATAACACAAGTGGATGGCTTTAACAAACAGAAATTTATTCTCTCATAGTCTAGGAGGCTAGAAGTCCGAATTCAAGGCATCAGCTCCAGGGCAAGGTTTTTTCTCTCTGTCAGCTCTGGCGGAAGGTCCTTGTCGTCAATCTTCCCCTGGGTCTAGGAGTTTCTCAGTGCAGGGAACCCAGATCCAAAGGATGTGCTCAGCTCCTGGCTCTTCTTTCTTGGTGGTATGAGGTTCCTCTCCTCTCCGCACCCTTCTCTCTTTTATATCTCAAAAGAGACTGACTCAAGATAAAATCTAATCTTGTAGATTGTGTCCTGCCTCATTAACATAACTGCCTCTAATCCTGCCTTATTAACATCACAGAGGTTAGGATTCACAATACATAGGATAATTACATCAGATCATAAATGGAGGAGAACTACACAATACTGGGAATCATAGCCTAGCAAAGTTGACACACATATTTGGGAGACACAATTCAATCCATAACACTAGTCTTTTCAGCAAATGGTGCTGGAACAATTAGTTACCTGTCTTAGTCATCTAGTGCTGCTGTAACAGAAATACCACAAGTGGATGGCTTCAACAAAGGGAAATTTATTCTCTCACAGTCCAGTAGTCTCCAAGTCCAAATTCAGGGTGTCAGCTCCAGGCAAAGGCTTTCTCTCTGTATCAGCCTTCTCATCAATGTTCCCCGGACTAGGAGCTTCTCCATGCAGGGACCCGGGTCCAAAGGACGTGCTCTGCTCCTAGCACTGCTTTCTTGGTGGTATGAGGTCCCCACTCTCTGCTTGCTTCCCTTTCCTTTTATCTCTTGAGAGATAAAAGGTGGTGCAGGCCACACTCCAGGAAAACTCCCTTTACGTTGGATGAGGGATGTGACCTTAGTAAGGGTGTTATAATCACACCCTAATCCTCTTTAACATAAAATTATAATCACAAAATGGAGGACAAGCACACAGTACTGGGATCATGACCCAGCCAAATCGATACGCACATTTTTTGGGGGACATAATTCAATCCATGACAATACCCATATGCAATAAAATAAACTCAGACCCGTAATTCTCACCATATATTAAAAATTAACTCAATGGTTTCAGAAGTAAATTCCCTAAGCTCCATGAATTATATGCCATAATATAGTCATTTTTTTTCAATACCACTTTGCTTTAACTGAGGGACTCTATATAAAATATAATAACAACAATGTATGTTAATACTATTAAATAATACTAAAAAATTCCTTATGAACTATAGACCTAAATATAAGACATAAAATTATAAAACTTGTAGAAGAAAACTTAAAAAAAATCTTTGCAATTATGGAGTAGACAAAGATTTCATAAATAGCATAGAAAAGAAAAAAATCAGACTTCATCACATTTTTAAACTTCAAAAGACACTGCTAAGAAGTGAAAAGCAAGTCAAATACTGGAAGAAATACTTGCAGAACATATTTCTGATAAAAGAGTTGTAACCAGAATAAAGAATGTTTACAACTCAATAAGAACACAAACAATTCAATTAAAAATGGGTAAGAAATACGAGCAGATACTTCACTAAAGAGATACACAAATAGGAAAAGTATATGAAAAGATGCTCAACATCATTAGTCATCAAGGGAATGCAAATTAAAACCACAAAGAGGTATCACTACATACCCACTAAAATAGTTAAAAAGACTGACAATACCAACTGCTGGTGAGGACGTGAAACAACCAGAACCCTCATACACCGCTGGTGGGAATGCAACTTTGGAAAACAGTTTTGCAGTTTCTTATAAAGTTAAACATAAGTACTACACAACCCAGCAGTTCCTCTTCTTAGGTATTTACCCAATAAAAATGAAAACATATATTCCCACAAAGGCTTGCACAGGAATGTTTATAGCAGTTTTATTCATAATAACCAAATACTGGACCCAAATGTCCATCAAAAGTTGAACAGATAAGCAATTTGAGTTTATCCACACAATGGAATACTACTGAGCAATGAAAAGGAATGAACTACTGATACATGCTACAACATGGATGAATCTCCAAAATATTAAGCTAACTGGAAAAGCCAGACACAAAAGAGTACATATGGTCTGACTCCATTTATATGAAATCTAGAAAAGGTAAAACTATAATGAAAGAGGATTGGTGGTTGGTAGGCGCCGGGAGTGAGCAGAGGGGATTAACTGCAAAGGGGCATGTTATGGATTAAATTGTGTCCCCCCAAAACGTGTGTCAACTTGGCTAGGCCATGATTCCCAGTACTGTGTGATTCTCCTTCATTTGTGATCTGATGTCATTATCCTATGTGTTGTAAATCCTATGATGTTTATAAGGCAGGATTAGAGGCAGTTATGTCAATGAGGCAGGACTCAATCTACAAGATTAGGTTGTGTCTTAAGCCAATCTCTTGAGACATAAAAGAGAGAAGCAAGTAGAGAGATATGGGGACCTCATACCATCAAGAAACAAGAGCCAGAACAGCGTGTCCTTTGGACCTGCGGTCCCTGCACTGAGAAGCTCCTAGTCCAAGGGAAGATTGATGACAAGGACCTTCCCCCAGAGACGACAGAGAAAGAAAGCCTTCCCCTGGAGCTGACACCCTGAATTTGTACTTCCAGCCTACTAGACTGTGAGAGAACAAACTTCTGTTTGCTGAAGCCATCCACTTTTGGTATTTCTATTGTAGCAGCACTAGATAACTAAAACCGGGCATAAGGGGTTAATGGAAACATTCTATGTCATGATTGTGGTGGTAGTTACATGACTATATATGTTTGTCAAAACACAGAACTGAACACTTAAAATAAGTGAATTTTACTTTATGTAAATTATACCTCAATAAAGGTGATTTCAAAAAATAAAAGGCATAAAAATTAAAAATATTACTTAATATCTAAGTTATGTATATACATTGCATATATATATACACGCAACATGCACCAAAACTGTAGAGTTACCCTATGTTTCTCAGCAGCGTGTGTCTTGGAATTTGATTAACTTGGTTTTGCAACTGCAGTGCAAAAATCATCCCATGTATGGAGCAGAAAAACCTCTACCAGTTTGTAACAACACTTACCACTGATACAGAAAAAGAGACAAAGCTCAGAGGGTCCACCTATGTCTAAGGAAAGCCAAACTGCATTAATGTCACCATTCAGCAAAGACCCAGGATCCTGACAGGGAGAACTAGCGGTGAGCTAGGCATCCCTCAGCTACTGTTTGGAGTACTCTTTATTAGCAGCTGACAAAGAAACCTTATCTCTTGCAACTGATGCAGGCCCTGACAGGTAGATAAAGCAAAATGGTAGAACTTGTGCTGCAGTTTTAGGAGTCACGAGGAACACAGAGACAACCTTGCAGGTGACCTCACATTCAATAAGGCCAAAGTCCATTTAAGTGGAAAAATGAATCATAATGTACACACGTGGGACTCTGCCATCATAATATGATAGAACATGTAAGGGAGTCACCAAAAATTAATGTCTTTTTATTATATTTGACCTATTTATTTGTTTCTCCCCACTAGAATGATGATACAACATGATGACAGGGAGTTGTGGCTTTGTTGTTCATTGCTCTATCCCTAGCACCTAGAACAATGTCTAATATGTAGTAATTGTTCAATAAATATTGTTAAATGAATAAATTATGCATATGTAGACTTCAGTAACCATTTGTTGAGTGAATTTATTATGTCCATGTAGATATTATTCACAGCTAAACAATATACTAATCTTCCATTACATTTTTTTTCTTGTGAGATTTCTTGGATTGGAAGTTAATAATTGTCTTGTTTCTTCATTCATTTTGTTTCTATATACCAATTCAAACTCAAACTTTCAAGCAAGATGATTATTTTCTCCTTTATACACTTTTTCATCCCCGAATTTCTTACTATATATGTTTAAAATAAAGAACAAATGCATTTTTACAAAATTGGATTTTTAGAGAGGGCTAGATCAATTAACAATAGCATCCTCTGAGTTTTCGTTTAGCTATTTCCTCAAGTCTATACCTCTGCATATGCTATTTTTCCTATCTGGAAAAACCCTCCACACACTTCTCTTTAAATTTAATCTGTCTTCAACCGATATCCCCAGTTAAGAATCCCTTATAGTACTGGTTAATTCCAATGCCTTGAGCTACTCTGACTCCCAACAAAACACTAAACTTCCTTAAGGCAGGCAATATTCATTACGTTTTTGTATTTCCAACTGTTATAGCACATTTAATACACGCTTAATTTTCTGAACTTGATGAATTTCAGTAAGGCTAAAAAAAGGTAAAGGATATAAAAATTAATGTAAAGCTATGGGGATCAAGACATACATTTGTGTATTAAACAATAGGCATAAAACCTACCAGTAATGTCTGTCCTTGAGAAATGAACAAATGACCTGAGACAACTATGGTGAGAACAAGATACCCAGATTCTTCATTGGAATCAAAAACCTTGAAGAGAGAGAGAGAGAAATATACATAACACATTTCTGTAATACTGACACACATAATACCGATAACAATTTATTTCCTCACAGTGACCTTCCTACTCTGAATGTTTTTTCATTTCATTTAATATGACATCATTCCCTTGTAACTTCAAACTTGGGGATAACATTCAGGCTTTAAAAAAATATAATCAAAACCAATATTTTGAAACAAAAAGAATACTGGATTAAGAATCAGAGATGTGAGCCCTAAGCCAACTTGTTAGTTACATTTTAATAAATCATTAATTCTCTCTAAGCCTTGATTTTCTTTCTGTGAAATGGGGATAATGTCCTACAGGATTGTTATGAGACTTAAAAGTCCCAGTTTCTTCAACCATATAATCCACTTTTCACAACCCCTCAAAACCTCGTGTTTTCTTTCTCTCCCCCACGACTAAACTTCAAACTAATGCTTTATTTATCGTCATTTACAAAATTCAAAATATATATCAGATTCCCACCAGTACATGGTATTCTCTGCTTTATTTATCATCATTTAAAAAATTCAAAATATATATCAGATTCCC